GTGGTTCGGACATTTAGAAAGGCTGGAACAAAATAGGATGACTTGAGCAAAGTAACATTTATTAAGGAATTCGGAAGTGGGAAGTACAGGTCAACCACTGTGAAGGAGAGATGAGGATATTTGCAGTTTTCAACTGTAGTACTGGCGCCCCTCTGGCGTGACACTGATGGAATAATGGTGAAAGTATATATTTTTTTGTCACCCTACCTCGGTAGGGTGAGTGAGTGTGTGTGTGTGTGTGTGTGTGTGTGTGTGTGTGTGTGTGTGTGTGTTTGTGTGTGTGTGTGTGTGTGTGTGTGTGTGTGTGTGTGTGTGTGTGTTATGCGGCGCGCGCGCATATGTAAAACAAACACACACACACACACCACACACACACACACACACCACACACCACACACACACACTCATGTACAACCCCCACAGAACATAAAAATAGCGGAGGCCAAGACAAAATATGTTGAGAGAAATGGTTGGAAAGCTAGCTGAGGGGGCCCAAAAAGGGCCCCCCATGGGAGGGCAAAGTTCTAGTTATTGGTGTTTTCACTCAAAAGAAGAGTGAGGGGAAACCGGACCCGCATGGCTCCAGGGTGGGCCTGTGATGTGGGGTACAAAAAAAAACCTCTGCTTCAACAATTTGGACACTCCCAGAGAGAGAGGAGGAAAATAAAACCAGAAGACTGGCCCTTATGTAACTCGAAAAATTGCGATGGGCCCTCACAATGAAAGGCCCCTGGGAATAGTCTTCACGTGGTCCTGAGCATCGAATTGCTAGTGGTGTTACAAGTGGAGAGGAAAGCGGGGACAAGTAGGGGGGGAGAAGAAATTAAAACAAAGGGCCCACCAGGCATGATAAATTTCCTGTATGAGGTTCAGCGGAAAAAGAACTTGGGGGGAAAATCATTTAAAGAAATGATGGAATACTGAAACAAATGAAAGGAGGAGAGGAGAGGTTCGTACCAAGGGTAACAAACAATGCGAAGAAAGAACGATCCACGGGTTCCCCCCCCAAAACGTGTCAGGCCAAAACAAGTGCTTTAGGAAGGGAAAAAAAAGTATATAAGACAAAGGACCGGGGAAATTAGGGAGATTAGTCAAAGACCCAAAAAGATATGGAAGATAAGCAGGGGGGCCCCAGAGGAAATACGAAAATGACACGCACGAAACCAAATTTGAAAAAAGTTGTTGACCGCAACATGGGGAAAAAAAAACAACGCCCAAGCCCGGTAATTGATGAGGAAGGAAGGAGGGCAGATACAAAAAACGACGAGAAAATATGGAGGTTAAACGGATTTAATTAAGGGAAATATTTTTTGCAGAGTAGAAAGGCTCCAGAAAGCCGGAAAAGGTGGGGTTTTTCTTTCAAGGTGGACACCACACGAGGAGGGAAGGGCTGCAAGTGAACTGATACCCCAAACCCCTGGGGGACCCGACATTTTTTCCCCCTGGTTTGAGAGAGGAAGCAGGGGCTGTGTGTACCCTAACACAATTTTCAACCATCCTCAAAACAGGGCAAATCCGAGATGTGGGGAAAAAAAGTTTAAAAATGTCCCCAATTTTTTTTAAAAAAGGGAAAGAAGGAGCTTTAAATTTCAGACCGTGTCCTGAATGTATAGTAGCAAAGTTGGGGAAAATTATCAGGGGAAAAGTGGTGGGCGCCCGAATGGAATGAGTTTGTAAAAAATAACCAGCACGGTTTCAGAGAAAAGAAATCCTGTGTCACAGACCTACCAGAGTTTTACGACACGGTGACAGAGGCTTTCGACACAGTTCTACACAAGAGATTAGTGCTAAAACTAGAGGAGCAGGCACGATTAACAGGAAAGGCACTGCAATGGATCAGAGAATAACTCACCGGCAGGAAACAACGAGTCATGGTACGTGACGAGGTGTCAGAGTGGGCACCTATGATGAGCAGGGTTCCAAAGGGGTCAGTCCTAGGGGCCGGTGCTATTTCTGGTATATGTGAATGACATGACGGAATGGGATGAGGATCAAATAAGATTACAAAGGCATTTGGACAGGTTGCAAGCCTGGTCCAGCAACTGGCTTCTTGAGTTTAACCCCACCAAGTGCAAAGTCATGAAGTTTGGGGGAAAAGGTAAAAAGACCCCTACAAACCGAATACAGGCTAGGAGACCAAAGACTGTAAACCCACCGGGAAAAAAAGGATCTTGGGATGGGTATAATACCGAGTACATCTAAAACACACATCAACCAAATAACTGCTGCAGCATATGGGCGCCTGGCAAACCCAAGAACAGCGCTTCGACACCTTAGCAAGGAATCGTTCAAGATTCTGTACAACTTGTACGTTAGGCCCATATTGGAGTATGCAGCACCAGTATGGAACCCACACCTGTTCAAGGAAGTCAAGAAATTAGCGAAAGTGAAAAGGTTTGCACAAGACTAGTCCCGGTGCTAAGGGGTATGTCCTACGAGGAGAGGTTAAGGAAAATCGACCTGACGACACTGGAGGACAGGAAGGATAAGGTGGAGAACATGATAATAACATAAAATACTGAGAGGAATTGACAAAGTGGCCAGGGATAGGGTGTTTCAGAGATGAGGCACAGCAACAAGGGGTCACATCTGGAGGTTAAAGACTCATTTGAGTCACAGGGATGTTAGGAAGAATTTTTTCAGTTTGACAGGAATTGGAACAATCTGATGAGTGATGTAGTGGAGGCAGGATCCATAATAGCTTTATGAAGAAATACGGTAAAGCTCGTGGAACAGGGAGAGTGGATCTAGTAGCGACCAGCGAAGAGGCGGGGGTCAGCTGTGAATCGACCCCTAAAACCAAAAATAGGTGCGTACACACACACACACACACACACACACACACACACACACACACACACACACAACACACACGCACACACGCACACACGCACACACGCACACACGCACACGCGCGCGCGCACACACACACGCACACGCACACACACACACGCACACACACACGCACACACACACACGCGCACACACACACGCGCACACACACACGCACCACACACGCACACGCACACACACAACACGCGCACACGCGCGCGCACACACACGCGCGCGCGCACACACGCGAGCACACACGCGCACACACACACGCGCACACACACACACGCGCACACACACACGCGCACACAGACATGAAGCATTAAACTACAGACCAGTGTCACTGACATGTATAGTATGCAAAATCATGGAGAAGATTATCAGGAGAAGAGTGGTGGAACACCTAGAAAGGAATGATCTCATCAACAGCAGCCAACATGGTTTCAGGGACGGGAAATCCTGTGTCACAAACCTACTGGAGTTCTATGACATAGTGACAGCAGTAAGACAAGAGAGAGAGGGGTGGGTGGATTGCATTTTCTTGGACTGCAAGAAGGCGTTTGACACAGTTCCACACAAGAGATTGGTGCAAAAACTGGAGGACCAAGCAGGGATAAACAGGGAAGGCACTACAATGGATCAGGGAATTTACTTGTCAGGAAGACAGCAGCGAGTCATGGTACGTGGCGAGGTGTCAGAGTGGGCACCTGTGACCAACGGGGGTCCCGCAGGGGTCAGCCCTAGGACCAGTGCTGTTTCTGGTATTTGTGAACGACATGACGGAAGGAATAGACTCTGAGGTGTCCCTGTTTGCAGATGACGTGAAGTTGATGAGAAGAATTCACTCGATCGAAGACCAGGCAGAACTACAAGGGATCTGGACAGGCTGCAGACCTGGTCCAGCAATTGGCTCCTGGAGTTCAATCCCACCAAGTGCAAAGTCATGAAGATTGGGGAAGGGAAAAGAAGGCCGCAGACGGAGTACAGTCTAGGGGTCAGAGACTACAAACCTCACTCAAGGAAAAAGATCTTGGGGTGAGTATAACACCAGACACATCTCCTGAAGCGCACATCAACCAAATAACTGCTGCAGCATATGGGCGCCTAGCAAACCTCAGAACAGCATTCCGACATCTTAATAAGGAATCATTCAGGACCCTGTACACCGTGTATGTTAGGCCCATATTGGAGTATGCGGCACCAGTTTGGAACCCACACCTAGCCAAGCACGTGAAGAAACTAGAGAAAGTGCAAAGGTTTGCAACAAGACTAGTCCCAGAGCTAAGAGGTATGTCCTCGAGGAGAGGTTAAGGGAAATCAACCTGACGACACTGGAGGACAGGAGAGATAGGGGGGACATGATAACGACATACAAAATACTGAGAGGAATTGACAAGGTGGACAAAGACAGGATGTTCCAGAGATTGGACACAGTAACAATGGGACACAGTTGGAAGCTGAAGACACAGATGAATCACAGGGATGTTAGGAAGTATTTCTTCAGCCACAGAGTAGTCAGTAAGTGGAATAGTTTGGGAAGCGATGTAGTGGAGGCAGGATCCATACATAGCTTTAAGCAGAGGTATGATAAAGCTCACGGCTCAGGGAGAGTGACCTAGTAGCGATCAGTGAAGAGGCGGGGCCAGGAGCTCGGACTCGACCCCCGCAACCTCAACTAGGTGAGTACAACTAGGTGAGTACACACACACACACGCGCGCACACACACACACACGCACGCACACACACGCGCACACACACGCGCACACACACGCGCACACACACGCACACACACACACACACACACACACACACACACACACACACACACACACACACACACACACTTATTCCAGAGAGTATATTACAAGTGTTATGAAGTATTCTCTCAAAATTAACACCGACTCTGGGACGACAAAGTAAGAATGAGATGGGTCTACTGTTGTTTTAAAGACTGCAAGAGTTTGGCACAGTTCACAGAAACTGATCTGCAAACTTTTCGAGAAAGTAAGGGCGAAAATGAAGTCTCCCAGTAGATCAAAGAGTGAGAGCAAGTGTTAGAATATGAGAGGATAATAATCGGGGTTCTCCAAGTATAAACGATAGCCACTACAGTTGCTGATGTATGTAAAGCACTTGCCAGTGGGAAGTGAATCTTCTTATACCTTACCTTTACTTGTATCTTCAATAAGTTTCGAGAGGTTTTCTACTCTCGCAGGACGGACCTAGGCCAGGCTTCTCTGCTGCTTGCCTAATCAACCACGTTGTTGCTGCTGGTGGCCCGCTTATCCACCACAGTCTGGTTGATTAGACACCTGGCGGAGGAAATTATCAATATTTTTCTTGAAGACTTATACATTTGCTTCATCAGTGTTTCTGATTTCTTTTGGTAAAACGTTAAAAAGTCTGGGTCCACGAATGTTAATACAATGTTCTCTCATTGTACCCACAGCGCCTCTTCTTCACTGGGTTTGTACTACACATTCTTCCACATTTCTCACTCCAAATGTGTGTGCAGACTGGGATCAAGTCCTCAAGTACTTTCCACACGTACATCTCTCCTCCGCTCCTACGAGTACATATTTATGAATGTGTGTGTGTGTGTGTGTGTGTGTGTGTGTGTGTGTGTGTGTGTGTACTCACTTATCTGTACTCACCTTTTTATGGTTGCATAGGTCGATTCATAGCTCCTGGCCCCGCCTCTTCACTGATTGCTATGTCCTCTCTCTCCTTGTTCCTTGAGCTTTATCAAACCTCGGCTTAGAGGAAGAGGAAGAGGAAGAGGAAGGGGGAGGAAGAGGAAGAGGAAGAGGAAGAGGAAGAGGAAGAGGAAGAGGAAGAGGAAGAGGAGGAGGAGGAGGAGGAGGAGGAGGAGGAGGAGGAGGAGGAGGAGGAGGAGGAGGAGGAGGAGGAGGAGGAGGAGGAGGAGGAGGTGGTGGTGGTGGAGGTGGGTGTTAAATCCAAACAAGTACAAGGTCACACAACTGGAACTAAGTAAGTTTATTCAGGTATACACAAATACAACGTGTGTAGAGAACCGAGGATAACCCAAAAATGTCAGACTGACTTATTTCCACTGAGGCCCTTTTAATAAATTATACTATAGAGGAGATAATATCTTATTATACTACAAACGAGATATACTAGGAATAAGGTCAAATGAGTGTTTTGTATTTACAAGTGTGCTGTTAGTAAAAAAAAAAAGAATAAAAAATCATTCTCCTCTCTTTCTGTCGCTACATTCATTAGGCATCTTTTGGCTCTTCTTGAACTGGTTCATGCTATGACTGGCTTTGACATGTGCAGGTAGTCTGTTCCATTCCTTCTTTTCTGTGCAATAAAAGAAGCCTGGCCACTGACTGGGTACTACAAAGGTGTGCTCTCCCCTCCTAGTACTGTGATTGCTTTGATTCCCAGCCTGGACAAAATTGCCAGAAAGATATTCTGGACACTGAGCAATTTTATAAACTTGATTTAACTTCAGTTGTTTTACTCTGTCTTTAACATTCAGCATATCCAATTGTTGTAATTCATCCTGGCCTACATGTTCTCTTGGACCAGGTCCACGATGAATCTTACCATTTTATTCTGGGTGATTTGCAGAATATTTGTTTTTATTTTTGTTTTGTTTTTTTTGTCAAGGCAGAGTACCATGAGAAGCAAGCGTTGTCTATATGACAATGTACAGGGGCTAGACAGAGTCCTGTGAGCCTCAGTTGGTAGACACTGCGCTTGTCTGTAGACGAACTTCAGTCTGGCATTCGCTTTCTTTATCACACTGTTCCCTATCAATTCTCTTGACATGATGGGGTCCCCATTACACCGGACATTAAAATTATTTACCCTTCTCAGTTTATGTTTCGTACCAAAGAGTGGCTTCCGTTTTCCCGAGGTGTAACGATAGTTTGTTGTCTACTATTTGATGCAGGACTCCAGTTCCAGTGTTATTACATTACCTATATCATGTGGGTCTTTACCCAACACTAACAGAGCACTGTCATCCGCATACAGTAGAAGTTTACGCTTGACACTGATGTGCATGTCGTTTACATAACCTAGAATAAAAAGGGACCCAGAAAACTACCTTAGGTAAGGTGATGGGAGCACATCTGACTGATCGCAGACTTGGAGGCGAGGAACTACAATGATAAAAAGAACAGCATCATAAGAGTGAAAAATCACAGAACATACCGCCGGAGTAGAACTTTGTCGACTCCAGCAGCGTATCCTGCCTTCAGGAGCGGATCCCTCCTCCTGACGAAGCTGATTTACTAGTATAATAAAGATCGAATGGTCAGTGACCATTCAAGTCTCAGTACTGAGGAAGTGAAGCAACATTAAAGATAAACATTCTCTACACAATACACAAATAACCAGCACACAGGAGAGAGAAGAGCTTATGACGACGTTATAGTCTGACAGGTTTAAAGAAAAGACTAGGAAATATAAGATTACGAGCAGCAGAAGACAAGGATGAATGATCAAACACAGACGAGTCGCAAGGATGTTTGAAAGTACTTTGTTTTTGTCTCCAGGAAGTGGAATAAACTGGATGTGAAAGTGGAGTCAAACTCCTTACACCTTCATAAGAGGTTTGATAGATCATAAAAAAAAACTGATAATTCTGGTCGATGAAGCTTCAAAAGAAGAGCCAAGAGTGTAAGGTAAATGAGATGCCATCCTCTTCCTGGAGAAAATTACAAAACAATGACCAATGAAAATGACTTAATTACATAAACAAATGAGAATGTTAACCGAAGACAAACAAAATGATAGATACAGATAAATAACTAAAAATATTACATGATAACCATTATATTTTTAAGTGCAGGAAGCAGAAAGAAATGGAAAAATATAAGAATGTCTCTAACCAAAGAGCGATGTTGGACTGTAAACAAAGCTAGTGGCTGCGTCTGCCACCTTTAGGTAACCTTAAAGGTAACACCCAGGAATGTTTTCAAATACCAATCACACTCCCCCCACCCACCACCACCCAAGAAAGAAAATGTGAAAGAAAAGGACAAACCATAAAGAACAGAAGAAGCAGAGGTTAGGTGACAACCGTGAAAAGTAGCAACTGGTGCTGCACACATGACGCTCCTCGTGGTTCTTTACAGTCCAGTGAAAATACCACCAGTTACACCAATCTCTCAATTTTCAATGATTCTATGTTTATCCGTTTTAAAGAACCAAGACTTAACTCGTGCAAACAAATCAGTGAGTACTCACGTGTACACATGTTCATAAACACACACTAGAAGAGGTATGATAAAACTTATGGAGCAGAGTGGATCTAGTAGCGACCAGTTAAGAGGCAGGGCCAGGAGCTATGACTCGACCGACCCCTGCAACCACACTTAGATGGGTGAGCACACACACACACACACACACACACACATCGACATCTTAATAAGGAATCATTCAGGACCCTGTACACCGTGTACGTTAGGCCCATATTGGAGTATGCGGCACCAGTTTGGAACCCACACCTAGCCAAGCACGTGAAGAAACTAGAGAAAGTGCAAAGGTTTGCAACAAGACTAGTCCCAGAGCTAAGAGGTATGTCCTACGAGGAGAGGTTAAAGGAAATCAACCTGACGACACTGGAGGACAGGAGAGATAGGGGGGACATGATAACGACATACAAAATACTGAGAGGAATTGACAAGGTGGACAAAGACAGGATGTTCCAGAGATTGGACACAGTAACAAGGGGACACAGTTGGAAGCTGAAGACACAGATGAATCACAGGGATGTTAGGAAGTATTTCTTCAGCCACAGAGTAGTCAGTAAGTGGAATAGTTTGGGAAGCGATGTAGTGGAGGCAGGATCCATACATAGCTTTAAGCAGAGGTATGATAAAGCTCACGGCTCAGGGAGAGTGACCTAGTAGCGACCAGTGAAGAGGCGGGGCCAGGAGCTCGGACTCGACCCCCGCAACCTCAACTAGGCGAGTATAACTAGGCGAGTACACACACACACACACACACACACACACACACACACATTACAGATGTGGTCAAACAAGTTCAACACAAACAAATGCAAGGTCATACAAATTGAAGATGAGAGCAGAGCGGAGACGAGAGACCAGCATGGGCAGGAAAAAGCTGCAAGTGTAAAGAATCTAGGAGTAAATATAGAGCCAGAAATGCACACAAACAGTATGGCATCAGCAGTATATGCAAGATTAACAAACCTCAGAATAACACTTAGAAACTTTAGTAATCCTTCAGAACCTTGAATACGATCGCGGATTTTAACCCCACCCGCGGTATGGTTTGTTTGCAATCGTGTCATTACGATTTCGTGAGTCATCGTCGTGATAGGCTAATCACTAATTACGGGGTTCCAGCATGGAGCCCATACTTGGCCAAGCACAAAAAAACATGGACAAGGTCCAATGGTTTGCAACCAGATTAGTACAAGAAGGTTAATAAATGCACTATGCTTAATTGAAGGAAGTGAACCTTATGACCTTGACGGATAGAAGGACAAGCCACGATTATGACATACAGAAACAAAGGGAATTGATAGGGCAGATAAGTACAGACTGAATTAAGAGGATTAGAATCAAGAGGATATGATCAAGGGGAAGGTGAAAAGAAATGAGCTATTGAGATGTAAGGAAGTATTTGTTTAGTCTCAGGGTGACAGAAAAGTGGACCGACATAGACGAGGCATTAGGAAGAAAATTTAAATATACAGCCTCGAGAGTATACTTAAGACATAAGACGCCAAAAATCAGTGATGCTGACCAAAGTATTTTAGGAGGCGGGGCCAGGAGCTGGTGTGTGTGTGTGTGTGTGTGTGTGTGTGTGTGTGTGTGTGTGTGTGTGTGTAGACACAGACAGACAGACACACACACACACACACACACACACACACACACACACACACACACACACACACACACACACACACACACACACACACACACACACCCTGCAGTAGCTCTGATATTGATTTTCTCCAGCCTCCCGTACCACTAGCTCGCTCTCTCTCACCCCCAACTCTTCCCCAACCCCTCCACTCTGCCGCCGTCCCCTTCCTCTATGCCACCATCCTAACTTTTCCCCCCAACAAACGCTAAATTCTCCCCACCCTGTATTCTGATTTTCCTCAGACATAAGCACTTCTTCCCCACTAGTGTCGTCCCCACACCCGTCTCGTCCCCCCACCTGTCTCCTGATGCTACTTACTTAACACGCCTGGTGGAGACGGGCTCCACAACTGTAATTAAATTTACATTCAAAACACCTGAGCAATACTTCTGTGCAGATTAAAATATGTTGTGCCCCTC